ACATACGTCGTCAGAACGAAGTCAGGCCCGACTACATTCTGACTACACACGTCGTCAGAATGATGTCAGAGGATGTCAGCCAACCCCATCTATTTTAGCTTTTCCTTCCAAGACAGAGATTATCACACCCTGCTTGGCAGGGATCCTGTACAAGCTTGTTATGTACAAATGGACAGTCAGCAAAGTAAAGATCAGGCCCTGGTCTTAACTTTGTCCTGGCGAATGTCTGTGAAGCGTCCTGCTTGGCAGGATAGCTTGTACACAGCTTGCTATGTACAAAGCAACAATTCTTTCCAGAAAGAGTTGTTGCATGAGTAATGTTTATCCTTCAGTCTCGCAAACATCCTGCTTGGCAGGGATTTCCTATACAGCGGACACCCCGCCAACATGACCTGCGCAACTCCTTTGACACAATTAACTATACTCAATGATAGTGCATGTAAACAGCCATCAAAATGAACCGAGTCAAAAATCTATTCAAAAAGAACTTTTATCAGAAAAAAACAAAATCTATTCAAAAAACCAAGGAAAAGCATCCAAAAAAAAACATACTTTACCAAAAACAAACATCAAAAAAAAACAAGGTTTTGTAAGTATGCTTAAGTGCGCAGTAAGTTAGAATAAGTTGTTTTTGCAAAATCTCGATTCAGAAGATATAAAACACTTACAAACAGAGCATGTGCACTGTATCTAAGCTTAAGTGCTGCCGAACACTTACTGCAGCTTACGCAGTTTTAGACAAATGTATAACCTCAGTTACACTATAATATAACGTCAGTTAGGTCAACATATACCTAGGGTTAAGTTAACCCGTCCTTGTGGTACGACTCTTTTCCGACCCACCCTCTACCACCCTATTTTCCGCAAGTGCAGTCATGTGCGAGTGCATACCATATAAAGGTCATGACTTCCAGTCATTGAAAGTATTTTGTGTTGACCACCACCTATTTCTTTTACTTGGACCGAAGTTGGTCACCTTTCAGTCTGCGTGTGCAGTTTCTCTATATGCAAGTGCAATATTACCCAAACCGGATTGTTGTTTTTCAAGCTCCTTGCTTCCGGCCATGACATTGCGAGACGTTTCCTTTGATCCCCTTGATTTGTGTTACTTGGAGCGAAGTAGGTCACATCCTTCGAACGTTTCGACCCTTTTTCTCAGGTGCTTTCCTGGACCCTGCGGCGTCCTGTGATGCTTCATGTAGTTGCATGGGGCTTGCAACCTAACAGTGACGCAATTTGTGTTGATCTCGACACGTTGCGCCAAGCTCTCTTTTTTTTTCGACGGCGCCAGAGCAGTCTCGACTTCGTTTACCTTGGCAATTTGATCATCTTATTTCCTTTTGTCATTGGACCTCAGAGTGGCTCCATTTCAAGTCAGGCGACTTGATCCGGCATTAGCCTCGTCGAGAGCTCTTGATCCGTCTATTGCGCAAGTATGAGTTCATGTTGCAAGCCACACCGCTCAATCAAGCGGTTTTGCGGTGCTTCACTTCCTCGAAGCCTAGTTCGATGCATTTCGATTCCTTCGATGCAGTCCGATGCCTAATCCGACCGTCGTGAAAGCGCGACGAATTTCGTGTCCGATCCCAGACAGAGGAAAAAGAGTTGCGCGTGTGAGTCTTGCTATGAACAAACGTGTTTTCTTGTGAAACGTTCTCACGCATGGCAATCACAGAGAAAATAAGGTTGTGTATTGGGTTTACCAGGGTTGGAAATTAGGTGGAGCCATCCTGCGGTGGCAATATCGGCTGTCCATGATGATTGAACAATTGCGTTCTCTACGGCTTCTACTTCGGGCGCAATTTACGCACACGTCTGAGCCAATCAAATATCTAGTGACGTAAGCCCAATTCCGCCCCTGCCCTTCCTGGAGGAAATCCTCAAATTTCTATTTCTTGTTCTGTCGACTATATTTACGAATAAATTTATGAAGGCGTCGGAACCTTACCAGGTATTTCCACCCTGCAAAAACAGAACTCAAGAAACAATCACGCGCGAGCTGCTTTGCGAGCCTGCCACATGTTTGCTATCAAAGAGGTCAATGTGGAGTCGGCGGGCTGGACTCTAGGAAATCAAGTACGATCCAAAATAATGAATTCAATTTTAAATTCCGGAACAGAACATAAAATCGTGACACCTTGTGATGACAGGTATGTTCTAGCCTCCCAAAAAAAAACCTTGTCTTCTGATCGAGCTCTGCTTCATCTCCTGTCGAATGCGAAAGCGATCGAACTAAATAATCGGGCGAGGTCGGACTAGGAAACCATTTGGAAATAGATCAGCGCAATAGAATGTATCTAGGTCCAAATTATTCAAAATTGAATTCAAAATCATAAAGCATATACGGGTCCATCAAAGGCCACCGGAATTGGGATCGACGCATCAAGACAAAATCGATCCTAGATATCACGAAAGCTAGCACCAGCTAGCTGGAGTTGTCCTTGCTTTAGCAAGTGAGGGGCTGGAATCCTCGGGATCGCCGAATCACGTGAAAACTTCATATGTAGGGGGGGCCCCCCCTGAGTTCCCCCAGAAGTGGCAGTTGGATAACTGGACCTGATCGAAACACCAAGCAGTCAAACAAGTGCGGTCGGTGTGCGAGCTGCGGCGAAGCACACCTTTTCTATGGCAGTGAATGCAGTATTGGGCTGCTAAGTCTTGAGCCAAATGAATTATGTCGAAAGCGGACTGAAGAGCTACAGACTAATATATGTATACAAGGACAGGTGCTACACAAGTATAGCGTAGACACGCCTAGGGGGACTTAGGACCCTACTAAACACAAAACAGACACAAATTTTCTTCGTGTCGAAGCTTACGATCTCTAAAGTACAAAAGGTTCGCAAAAGGATGCAAATGAATTCGAAAAGTTCTGACTTCGCAGAACTCGACCGTAGGTGCCATTCTGGCTCATCTAGGTTGCGTCAGATAATCTTTACAAATCTACGAAAGGCATACTTGCTGCATCGAACGTTCCGGAATGTCGGAAATCTTCTTTCTCAAGTCAAATCATCAAGTTGAAGTCAAATCTATAAAGCCTTTAGTTTAGATATATCTGGGTCATTTAAACTGCATTTAGCTTTGTGGCATTTACCTGTAGTCGGCCGGAATATCGGCTTTTCCAGACTATTGCCTCGGCTGTGCTCTGGCCGGTATGTCGGCTTCTTGGAGCAGAGACTACCTACCAGTCCCTGTAGCCTCGGTAACCGGGATTCCAAGATGACGAAGAGGAACCGGTGTACCACCATGAGCTTGACGCTCCCGAGGACCAGGGCTGGTGCCAGCCAGCTTGGCGAGCTTGTTTCTTCTGCCGAGATTGTTCTTTCAAACGCTCAAGCCGCTCGGCATTCTTCTCGCCACGTTTCTCGGCGGAAGGCTGGCCACGAACTCTGATCTTGCGTCGGCTGGCAAGTGAAAAATTGCACTGAAATGGGTGGTGGTAACCCAAATCGCTGCTCTTCAGACACAGATCAAGGTGATTCAAGTGCTTAAGGAGTTCGTTGACCTTAATGGTAGTCTCCTTCTGGCGTGGAGGCTGCTCATATCCGACACGTCCACGATCGTCCGGAATATCGGATGTCCTTGACCGCAACGTATGCATGTCCTTGCCGTAATTTAAGGCGATCTGCAACAGGCAGTCGCAATCGGCATCCAGACCTTCCAAAGCAGCGAGCTGCTCACTGGCGAGGGTTGAGACCTCCCAGTTATAGGTGATGCGCTTGCTCGGCTCGCGCTTCTTGTTCGCAGAAACAAGAATCTGGTCAAGGATGGTCAGGACAGCTCCGGTTCCTGGATCGGCACGTCGATCGCACCGGCAGTTGCGGTTCGTGAACTGATTAGCATCGCACGCGATGACGTCCACCTGGTCTGCTACGGCCGTGATCAAAATCTTCATGATGGCGTTCTTACCGGCCGTAATACCTGACTGAAAGGCATGAGCATTGATGTGGAAAGCGCAGACTCGAAGTTCAGGCATGTGCATGCGCTTGCAGTCATTCAGGCTCCCGGTCCGGAATGTCGGACACTCGTGGAACAATGCCTCTGCATCCACTGGCGAAGATTCAATGTAAGTGGTGGATGCTTGTGCTACAGCTAAGGTGTCAGGGCAGACTGTTGCCTCCATGTTATCTGGATCAGCGCCTTCTTCAAGGGCAACACGGAGGTTCTTTCGGACTCCACGGTCATCGGTGATGCCTCCATCTGTGGATTCTTCG